TCAAGAGCGTCAGTTTATACTCTGGCTCGATGGACAACTTTTACGTTAGATCCCAGCATATGTAACAGCCTTGCATTTGGGACTGGAGGCGCGTGCACTGAGCCGTCTCAATACTGATAAGTTTGTCTCAATACTGATAAGTTCTCAGACTTAGACGCACACATGGTTAGTATAGGCACCGTAACCAAAACGTGTTCATTCATGTAGCACGCGCGGCGTCTGGACCTTACACATATAAAAAGTCCACACAACTTTAGGCATTTGTGTTCAGTGCCATGAAATAGAAACAGATCCCTTGCTCCATCGTGCTACTTAAAACCTGGTCTGCGTCTGGCCCATGCAGACCTGTTACAGTCTCACTTCCTCTTGAAAGTAGAAGCCGTTTGGCTACATAAGGACTTGTGTGTGACTGTGGAGCTAGTTACTGCTGACCTCTTTTGATGTTAAGTGCATTTATGTTCCCCAAGAACACAGTGAGGTAAAACCCCTCACCACACCGATGTATCCCAAGCCAAGACTATTAGAATGACAGCCACCTTTAGCCAATGCTATTCTTTGTAGTGACATGAAGTGTCAAGCACACTCGGGGGAGACAGCAAGGAAAGCCTAATGATCCTGCTATAATAACGTCAATCATAACTGTTATCCTAAGAATGCCGAGTACTCGGAAAGTGACCAAATGGCTTGTCAACTGCTACACTTTCTTCACACTTCTGACCACAGCTATTGTAAATTTTCAGTCACTTTCACTCCTTTAACACATCTGTAGCCACACTGATAAAAAGGATTCTAACACACACTCCCGAACACAGCTTTCTGACAAAACTAGGCCTCTAATTATGCTTCTTGGTTCTCAATTATTATACTAACTTGACTGCTTTTGCTCATTAGTTTTCTAGGTTTTCAAATTTACTTCGCAAACAACTAACTCTGATAACACATAAACTTCCTGACTGTAAATGCACGGCTTTTTCCACACCAAGGAATTTCCACTCTCCAACGGCTGCCAGGAGTTCCACAGTTTAATCCAAATCCACACCCTCCACATTTGCAATATTATGATGACCTTGCTCCTAACCAACATGACTGCAGGGAACAGCCAACTACCCACAGCATTTCTAGAAACCTACTCAGCTAAAGAAGTACATCGTTTTTATTCTGAAAACAAGAGAGAAATCCTGTCTTGAAAGACAGAACAACTATACTGGAGAAAAAGTTAAAAATTCACTAAATCATGCAATAGTAGCCCTGAAAAATATAGTTTGTCTACCAAAAAATTACACATTGCACGGGATGGTAGGAGAGTGCCTGATTAATCTTATGATTAATTCTGCTGTAATATATCAAAAGAACCTTATCTGAAGATGAATGGGTAATTTCTCCTTTATGTTTCCAGCAAAATATTTCAAGGGTAGAGATGTGCCTCCATGTTTAATTTAAATGTTTAAAATACAAGGCACTGAACCACCCTAGATATTTAACTGATTTTGCATACGAATTCTAACTTGGGTCATTTTTCTCTCTGTCTGAATACTTTTATGGATAAATGTCATCCCTATTTCGCTGACATCATCATCTCCTGACAGTTTCCCCTTCTTTACTCCAAAATGATACCATCAGCTACAGCCACCCACCCCTTTATTCAGTGATAACAAACATACCTTCAGAAGTTATGGAAACTCTGTTTCCTTTTAAGCAATTTAAATTTAGTTTCTTCAGTTTTCTGCAGTTACACAGGTGCAGGAGAGCAGTATCAGAGACATCACAACTCTGTAGATTCAGAGTTTGGACTTCGGGATGTAAAATCTGTAACAAATACATGCTTTAAAAAATACAATTTTCTGTAAAGTGAAACATTCATCCCACTGTCAGTGTTGTGGTGATCCTAACCAACAGGAACTACAGCAAAGATGACAGAAATGTATCTATGCGGAGACAGATCTGTAAGGCCAAAAGAAAGACTAAGTCCACTTCTGGCTGGAGCTGCAGCAGTCAGGGCCCCAAGTCCTAACGGGGCACAAACACTGCGAGGTGGCAGGGGCAAAGTGAGGACCCCAAGACCTGAGAGGCATCACCCTAGGGCGAGGGATGACCCATCCTACAGCTGCCAAGGTCGGGAGAGACTCTGCCGTGTGCCTCTGTGCTCATCACACGGAATCTTGATCACTTACAGGGGAACAGTGCTGCTAACCGGGGACATTTACCTTCTACGTACCTTCTTCATCACCGGGGACCCAGTGCAAACCAACCCCGTATCATTCACAGTGTGCGAGTGTGTGCACACACAGTAAGTATAAGTCAATTTTGAAGTATTCTGAACTCTCTTCCTGGTGGTATTTCCCTTTCTTTCTTTTTTTTTTTTTTTGAGATAGGGTTTTGCTATGCAGTTCAGGCTGCCCTTGAACTCACTTTGCAGGCTGGCCTCGAACCTGCAGTGATCCTCCTGACTCAGTCTCCCGAGTGCTGGGATTACAGGTGTGTACCACCATGCCTAGCATGTTTCTTTTTACTTTACTGTTTTTCCATAATGGAAAAGGCTTTATTTTGCTGAGTATAAAATTATGTACTAATATTGTAGAACATTCAGACAATATAGAAAAGTTAAAAGTAAATGATGAAAACTATTTCTACGCTGGGGACACTTATCAGGAGGGTACTAAGTATTATATATATTATTTAATATTCTCTTTTTCTCCTATGCACAAAGACATACACGCTGAGGGAGTGACTCATCCTTTCCATCTTGCACATGAAGGAAACTGAGGCCCTGGGAGAACTTAGGAAGCCAGCACGAATTGTTTCCAATGTAGTACTGAAACTAGGTCTTCCTAACTCCAAAGTCTATCCTTCTATTTTATAATTTTAAAATTATTTTTCTTTATTTTTGAGGTGGACATGTCATTCTGTTGCCCAGGCTGGTCTCAAACTCCTAGGTCAAGTGTTCTCCATCCTTAGCCTCCCTAGCTGGGGCAATAAGTGCACACTTCCCCTTTAAGCCAATGCTTCTAACTGCTGTAACAGAGATGGTGAACCTTTTAGAGACAAGTGCCCAAACTGCAACTCAAAACCACTTATTATTGCAAAATGACAACACTGCAACCAAATGTGAATACTGAGTTTTCAGTTTAGAAAAAAAAAACTATACATTACATCTTTTGTCTTAAAAGAAAAACACAGTAATACATATGCCATAGGTTTACCACCACTGCACTGTGCCCATAATATCATAACCCACAGATAAAATTACATTAGTTTTGATTTTTATTAAAATTGCCCATAATATCATAACCCACAGATAAAATTACATTAGTTTTGATTTTTATTAAAAATGCTCTGAAGAAAAATGGGATCAGATTATTTATAAGATGAACACTTTACAAAATTAACTATGGTGCATACAATGCTGTTTTATGCCAGTACTACATACAAGTCATGAAATGTATCCCACAGGCAGATGCTTAGGCTGAACACTGGGTTCATTAGGGTTGGGTGGGGCTTACACTGGCAAACACTGGACACCTGTGCTGGTCTTGGAGCAGGGTCAGTAACACGGAGTTGTGATGAACAGCCTGTGCTCTGGAGGAGACTGCTGGCACTGCCTCTGTGACTGTATGCATACTTCGTTCCATCTCTGTGTGCACTAGACTCATTAGTAAGAGAACACTGCATCATAAGAGTGAAAGATGCCTTGCCTATAATGCATGCTGTGCGTGACAGTGTTAGTCACCTCTGCATGGCTGTGACAAGATCTGAGAGCTAGCACTTAAAGGGAGAAAGGTTTACTCTGGGTCATAGTTTTAGAGGCTTCCATCCCTGCTCAACTGGTTCCCTGTTGCTGGGCCTGTGCTGAGCAGGGCATCGAGGTGGCAGGGAGTGGTAGAACAGAGCTGCTCCCCACATGGTGGTCAGGCGGTGGGAGCTGGGGACAAACAGCCCCGTCCATGGCCTGGCCCAGTGCTCCATGCTCCAGGCAAGCCGCATGTCCCGGAGTCCCCACACCTCCTGAGGACCCCACAGCTGGGACAAACCCTTCCTTTTATAAGCGGCTGCCCAGAAACGACAGATGCAAACTGCAACAGTAACAGCTTTATTTTCACAAATGATCTGATGAATGTATTTTTGTGCTTTTGTATTATTTTCTTGGCGTTTATATTAGTGGTAAAATTGAGCCAACAGCTATAGTAGTAAGCAAATTTTGAGAATTTTGATAGTTAATGACAAACTTTCCTCCATTTTTTAAAAAACCAATTAATATGTTCACTAGCATGGGTTAAAAGGAACAGCTTTCTAAATTATCGCCAGCACTGGGTATAGCATACCCTTGTGAAGTCATGGTTCAAAGTTCGTGCTTCAGTTGGTGGATTTTTCCTTAGAACTTAATCATTGTTCATGGAAATCCCTGCAATTTCACAGAAACCCAAATACGGTATCCTCCTCAACTGTTTTTTTGGTGGGAGGTTTGCAAGTAGCCAATCCAAGATCAGTATTCAGTTCTCCTTGCTGCTGATTGGCTGCTACCCTGTAACCCATCTCCGCAGACACACAAGCATTCCCACATCAACAGGTCACTGTACCCCACGTAGCTATCTGCAGTGTTCTCGGTTTTCTTCTTTCTACAGCCCTAAGGTCCCTAAGAAGCCCCCAACATGCCCTGCACCTCGAAGTCTCTATTAATAACAGTATTTTATTAGATTATGTAACTGTGGGAGACACAGCATACTTAGGGGTTTATACTATAAAAATAGGCACTTATAGGCATTTTTTTAGCATATCTGAAATTCGCAGTTTTTCACAATTCACAGGTGTTCTAGGAACACAACCACCATGAACTTTAGGGGTGCACTATACTGTTGTTTTGAAGTCTCTGCAAAACTAAAAGGTAAACTGTCACTGTGATTACTTCCTACTGAGGTTAAATATCCTTTCGTATGTTACTGACAATTTTTTCCTTTGAGTACTTCCTGACTTCTGTATTTGGTTTATTTCTGTTTTATTGTTTTCTTATTGGTTGGCAGAAATTCCTTATATTTTATTTTTCTTTGCACCACCCCCTCTCCCACAGGGTCTCCATATGTAGTTCCGGCTGGACTTGAACTTGCTCTATAGCCCAGGCTGGCCTGGAACTCAAGATGCTCCTGCCTCAGCTTCCAGAATGCTGGGATTATAGCACCACACCTGGCAGGAATTCTTTATACTGTCAAGACAAAAAATCCTAGAATGGAGATTTAGAGAAAGTAACAAGGAAAATCATGCCTTTTTTTTTTAGACTCATTCATCTTCTTTACCCCTTTTTGCTCAGGTAGAATAGGTTTCAGTAGATATTAAAGATTGTCAAAAATAAAAATTTAAGTCACTGATGTACAATCTAAAGGAATAGCAGGACACGAACATGGTGGAGAAGCGAAGGCTGCCCAGGTTGTTGTCCTAATGCTTCATCTGAGTCACATGTACCCTTGTATCCGTCCGCAGAATCGCCAGCATTAAGAACCTGGAAACACTATTCTGCCTCCATAGAGCCACGCAGACTCCAGCCCTAAGAAGTTTATGGTGCAATGAAAGGTAACACGAAGAAAGCAAAGGCCCACAAGGATGGTGGGGACACTGACACAGGCAAGCATACTGTGATGCAGTCACAGGCTCATTATAGTCTGGAGTGCTGTCATGACAGCTGCTTTCCTTTCAGTCATATTTTGGGCAAATGTGAGAGAAAGGTAGGGCTGTTTGCAGCTCTCATTCGTGTACCCAGTATGATAGTGATGGCTGCACTCCCCAAATCTGTGTTTTAAGTAAGTAGTATAGAAGCTATTAAGAAAGTAACATTTTCAGCTTTTGGAAAATAAGAAAGTAGCATTTTCAGCTATTAAGCAAGTAGCATTTTCAGGACAGAAACACAAGTATTAAAAATATAAAAGATAACACAGCAATAATATTGAGGAGAATTATTTACTATGCATTTTAAAAATTTAGGCATTAAGATGCTAAAGGTGAAGCCCTGACCTGAGGTGTCAGCAGAGGCAGGGAAGACTGGGGCTTTCCGGTGCCTGGGGCTCTGCCTTAGCAGCCCGCACTCCCAGCCCCAACTCCACCTCAGCTCAACAGGGCTGATACAGACCCAGGCCTGGACCTTAGGCAGTGTGAGTGCCACTACCACAGAGTGTACACAGGGGACACGGAGAAATTTGGAGGACACAAAGAGACATCTGGAGGCCACCTAGAGAACATAACTACTTCAAAACAACTACAAACTGAATTCCTGATTCCTTATTCCAGAGCAAAGGAATTAGAACATAGGGCTCAAAGATATTAATAAGCATGATAATTTGCTAAAAGGAATACAAGAAAATGTTGTAAGATAAACAAGAAACCACAAAAACTGGAAATACACATGTGAAGAAAACAATTGAAAAAGAACCACAGAGATGAGTTCCACCGATCGCCGAGGAACAAACCAGCCAGTGAGCGAGGGCGCATACCAGTTTCCCTCCCTCCAGACCCGGTCCCCCAAAGTTTGCCTTTGTTCCTGTCTAGTCTGTCTCTGGATCTGCTGCCCACTGATTCTTGTCTCTTACAGATTAACTGCACAGCAAAGTTAGCAAGGAATGTACAAGTCCTCCCTTTCCAGTCACTTCCTGGTCCCAAGTTACAGGAGAAAGCTACACTTGGCAGGTAGGGTGTCTGTTACAAAGGCTGATACAAATCACTTTAACCAAGGAACTGTGATCATGTGTGTCTTCTTCAGATCCACTGGTCTTCACCTCTTTCCAACTATGTGAACAAAACATGATGTGCACAGCTGACAGCATGAG